GGGGCGGGGTGGGAAGCGGGTCCCTGGGGTGCCCGCGGGGCACTCGCGTGCAACGACACAAAGGGCCACATACACAGGCACCACCTCGTGTACGCCCCCCCCCCCCCCCCCCCCCACATTTCTGATCCCATTTTCTCTGGTAAACGTTTTCATCTTTTTATCTTTATTTTTTAAAGATAAAGGATCATCCTTATTATCAAAGGATAAATGATTAAGAATATTCTGAAAAAAAAAGCAGTTAATTTAAAGGAATTCTGAATACATTCAGACGCTTCAAGAGTTTAGTGAGATTTGATCAAATTCCGCACGATTCCGAAATCAAAGTGTGTTGTTACTACCTGGTAAAACTCTCTGTATCAAATAAAAACTTTGGTGACCAATACACTCATCATAATACAATAATACTTGAAGAAATTAATGAAACCATATAGAAAATTCAGAGAATTTTAATATTTCTTAAATGTCTCGATTCGCCATTTTTCTTTTATCTTTCGTTTTCTTTTCCTTCTGTTTCAATCGGAATTATTTTTTTAAACATTCCTTGATGATGAAAAACAATGGCAATTTCATTGAAAATCTAGCACAAAGCATTGATGCTAAGACAATTTACAGAAGTTACCTATTTGTGTGCACTGCGAAACACAATGATGTATAGTGGATAAGAAAAAAGCATTTCTATACGTTTGCTACCATTTTTGTTATATGTCTGAACATTGACTGCAGCCGTAATGATAAGTAGTCCTCCGAAAAATAAGCAACAAGTTTCTCCTTGATCTTTCAATTTACGATGAATAAAAAAAAGCAGTTGTATCGTTGTTCTGTGACAATCTCTGATAAAAAAAAAAATGATATTTTCATATTGTTGCTTTCAAAATTCAATTAATCAAATTTTCAATAATCGTAGTGCAATAAAATGTTCTTAGTGTGATGCCTTATAATTTCAAAGATGTAACAATTTTCAAGTACACATTTAAAGACAAAAATAACTTCAAAGCAAAATCTGTAAGTTCATTTGTTTTTGCAAAAAAAAATGTATATATTTCTAATCAAATCTATATGATGATTGATTGCTGATTTGAGAATTTTTACAAACATAAAAATAAAATCAACTGTAATTCTTCAAGAAATATGACAATATTTATTGTATTTTTCATAAATTACAAATAATACATTTTCGAACGAAACGGTACTGATTTAAAATAATATTTTTGATTTTGTTCATAATCAATGATTATTTTTTGAATAATCTCTTTAGGTGTAACAAACCAAATAAAATCTTTATATTCATCTGGAATATTTAATGGTGGATCAGTTCGAAAATCAACATTTTCATGAACATATTTTGGTATATTATTTGCCATTGATTTAGCTTCTTCAATTGGATCATCATCTGATGAAGACGAATTTGTAAATAAGTGAGCAGCATTTGAATTCTATAGGAAAAAATATATATATAAATTTAATGATAGAAGAGCCAAATTTCGTTACCGAAAGTTCAGTTTGTTGTTGTCTAAACTTCACTTCTTTCGTATTATTTTCATAAGTAATTCTCTGAAGACTATGATATTGATAAAAATGTTTTCCCGATGGTATAGTACGAGGACGCCAAACAGCTGTTTTTGCATCATAAGTATACTAAAACAAGCAAAAAAGAAAAGTAATTTCTGTTAAATTGAAATTATTGAACAAGAATTTTTACCAATGATAAAAATTTCCATCCATCATTTGCAATAAATTCAACTGCATTTAAAATATAATCAGCTTCTTGATCAGTTACAAAATATGCTAAATTAAATCGAGTAAAGCCGAATTTCATTAATTCAATCTTAGGTATTCCATCAGATCGATTCCTAAAATTTATATGAATGATTTCTAAAAATGTGTTTATTAAAACTTACTTTTCATCTTCTGTTATAAATTTTGTATAAATGTCTGCTGTTTGATCATCAATATTAAGTAGATCCTAAATTCAAAAGTAACAACTGTTACAACGATTTTTGTAAGACTAAAATGTGAAACACAATTTAGACGTTGCTGCTAATAACAGAGATGTTGTTTTATTCTATCTCTTTTGTTTGATTGTCGAGAAATACAATAATGACATGGTTCAAATATTAGAACGAGTCGTTATTGATATGCGACCTACAATCATATATCAACAAAATCTGTGATGACTTGTGGAAATAGAGAAAGGGTCAACATTTTGACTCTTATACTTCAACACTTATTTCAAATCGTGATTGACAAAAATACATACCAGTCAGTTTTTTATATACTCTATACTCTTTTTCATTCGACATACAACATGCGTCTATATACTACTGCTGTATTATGCTTTACCATTCTAAGGAACTATATAGTTAATACAAATACAATGCACTTTAGTTTTGCTGCTATATGTCTGTCTTTCATGGTCTGTAATGGTCTTTAGTAATACTGGTAATGAATCCGAAGTAGAGGCTGAAACGGGGAGGACTTTTCACTCCCCGTTCTACCCTGAGTAAAAACTTTCTTTGATTCGAAACTTCATTCTGATTTGATGTCACGTCTTAGGTTCTGATATTGAGGAATATATGTCTAGAAAATATACAATAGAAAAGAGCCAAAATGATGTTATTCAAAGAAAAACAAGAGGATTTCTGATCATGGAAACCATATTGATACTCTGGAAATCAAACAAATCACTTCCTAAAACCTTGGTCATAAAAACATCTATAAACCAATTTGGTCTTGTAAAATACATTAAATAGCCGAGTTCCAGCTTTGAGAAAATACTTAAAGACAAGTTACAAATGGAAATACGTCATTTTGCAATAATTAATGTCTATTTCAATATTCTCAATTGTACTAAGGAAGAACGAATGCGATTTTAGCATGAAATGAGTGGTACACAATGGTTGAGACGCGCCTATTTTCTGTTTTTGAAATTAGTTAGGTAGATTTGTGTTATTGTAGAAAAATTGAAAAGACTAAGTCCTATCCCAATTTGGAAGTATATCACATCAATAAATAGATCATTTAATATTCTATATTTCGAGCGTCTTAACATGGTTTGGTTGGAAGAAAATTATTTAAAACTTCAATTGATCAAAGAAAATATCTAGGTTGAACTAAAACAAGAACAAACATTGCCAGATGTCTACTTAAAAGGAAAACATTTTTTCCAGGATTTTCGAATAACTATCTAGGAAGTTTTTCCTTGAATACTCTTCTTCAAAAATGCGTTGACACATATGCACGGATCAATAGTTTGATGGAAAATCTTGCGGAATATTTCACATTTCGGTAGAGCTCTTATTTCGAAAAAGTTTGATCAAACTGAGTTTTTAAATTGTCGCATTTGGACAACCAAGCACTGACAAGTGTTTCCAACTTTTTATCAACTAGAAGAAATTATCTAAAAATAAAGTTAATAATATTGAAGGGCACACAATTCTCTAATAAAAGAGCTTAGAATCAAACCTTTGACATGAATTTCTAGTTTTTCGAAAAAGAATATGAAAATGTCCCATTTGTTATAGGTTCCCTGTTACAATTGAACTATTCTATACTACTAATAATAAAAGCATGTCGTACTTGAAAAACACAAGTTTTCATTAAAAATACAAACAGAATTGATAAAAATTCAATGCATTGGAAATTGTAAACTTACCAAAACATACGGTGCAGCACAAGAACATCCTGATCGTACTTGAATACCAAATAAATCATTTAATAATACACAAATAAAATTATGATGTAAATATTTTTCAAACAAAGGTACATATATACGAAATGAAAATATTGCTAATCGAGGAACAGTTGATGATCCAAGTACAAGTAATTTTGGATGATTTCGAAATCTTGCAAAGAATTTTGCAACTAATGCATCTTCACGTGCTCTAATTGTGTGACAACCGACGGATTCTTTTAAATGAAAAACTAAACCAGCTCGAATAGCACCAAGAATATTAGGTGTTCCACCTTCTTCACGTGCTTCAATATCTTTTACATATTCAATATGTGTTCGAGTAACAAAATTAACTGTACCACCTCCAACATCGGATGGAACTGGATTGGTAAAAAGTTTTTTCTTAGCTATTAAAATACCTAAATGCACAAAAGAATAATGTTTTAATATAAATTCAATTTTTCTTTCAATAAATTTAAAATCAACCTGGCGTTGATGGTCCACCAACAAACTTATGTGTAGAAATAAAAACAGCATCTTTATAAGCGAATTTTGATGGATTCATATCAATTTTAACATAAGGTGCTGCTGCTGCATAATCCCAAAAAATCCAACCCTCATATCGATGAACAAGTTTTGAAACAGGATCAACATCAGTTCGAATACCAGTTACATGACGGGCCGTTATTAAAATGATA